CAAGCAAAGCCCAGGGCAGACTGCCTGAGGTCAGGCTGCTGCCTAACCCTGGGGTGGGGGCAAAAGGAAATGGGACGTGGAGGCAGGGAAGGCAGGCTCCTCACACAGGATGCTTGAAAGATCTATTGGACCTGCTGCACTTGCAAATTCAGTCAAGACACACAGCCTGGGAACAGGGTAACACGTACAAAATGATGTTTATTGACTCCGTCTTGGAAACCGGCAGCATGAGAAGTTTCTGGTTTGTGAGCTCACTCGGAGTTTAAGAGCCATGATCGTTTCCTGTCATTAAACCTCAGCCACAGGAAGATCCTAGCTTAAATAACAAAAATGAATCTTCATCTCACGAAGAGGAGAAAGAGTGTTTAAAAACACCATGGCGGTCGCTCTTGGAATAGCGCTGATGGCTAGAATGCTCTTAAACATCAACACAGTCCTTAAATGTACAGTGTTAAATATTTACTATACAAATATCAGGCGTGTGCATCAAAGGTAAAGTTGTAACCTGGCTAACAGTCATTGGCAATTAAGTACACAGGGCCTGTACTGACACTCCCCTTCTCAACCTAACAGCTTACATATTTAACTGATGATGCCTGCTGTCCTCATCAGGGGCATTTAGTATATGGAAAAAGCATTTAAAAACATATATGTCATTAATGTTGTAAACTAAAAAAGGAAACCCAAGCATGATTAATTACCTTGCCTGGATCAATAAATACTAGTCCCAAGTGCTAAGTGGACTAGTGAGGACAGAAGCCATCAGTTAAATAAATCATCATGTTGTTACCTCCTGATATTCCATTTGCTAATGCATGTTAGTGAGTTTGTGGATTTTATCCAACACATACAATAGAGATTATTTTTTGTCTGAGACTCTAGGAAGATCTCCTTTGGACATTTCTCTTCCATCACTCTCTTAGAAGGATGAAAATGAAACAACTTTTAAAACAAAATTTCTAAATTACAAGCCATCAGAAGCACGACTCCAGTCATATTTCAAATCTTCACCCAGAAGGGAGATGCCGTCAAGATTTAGATGAGCTTAAATAAAGTTTCCAAAGACTAACAGGAAACCTAGAAGGTGCCAGAAGGGTCCAGGGGCCTACTCTTTTTTCTAGAGCTGTTATCCGTGGGGCCAACAGACCAATATAAAAAGAACAGGGGGTCAAAGGAGAGAAAAACCCCAGGCTTGAGTGGAGGGAGCAGTGCTGAGAATCTATACAGCGTAGTGCCAAAGCCTGCTGCCCCCAAGTGGAGCTTGAGACCCCACAGGTTAGAAATTCCAGGCACTCTGGGCACTTCTTTAACCACAGGGAATGAACATCTCTTCAGAAGGTCCTGCCCACGTCGCCACAGTTCCCCCCCATCAACTGTGAAACACTGAGCCATCCCTCTTGCTGGAACTCTCTGCTCACGAGGCAAGCTGATTCTCCCTACCACAGTGCAGCTTTTCCTATAACCCGCGACACTCACCAACACAGCCATCCTGGAGCTCTGCAGCCTCTCCTCCCCGCCTACCACTGCCAGTCTCCCTGCCTGTGGGGGGGCTGCTGATTTTTCAGCTTGAAGACACACCCCAGGGGAAATGAGCGGTGCAAGAGCCTCTGTGTAAATATTTGCAAGCAATTTATTTTTGAAACGATGCACATTTAAAAAATTCAAGTCAAATCCAGGCACAGACTAGTTGGTGGGTATCAGCTGGCCCCACCCCCACAACAGGAAAACGGTCCATCTCTGAAATGAGAGAGGGAGGAAGGCACCAGCTACTCCACCGGGGAGGTTAGTTCCTCGAGCTGTGGAGGGGGGCTGAGAGGAGGACGCTGAGACTTCGTCAAAGATGGGGTTCCTCCAGCCGTGTGGCCCTCCTGGGCCCAGGGCCAAAGGCAGCATGTAGGGTCTGGCTAAAGGTGAGGGTGCATCCACACCCGCCAGTGGGGGGACTCTCTCCTGGTAATTCTAAAAGCGAAGGATGCGTCCCCAGAGTCAGGCTGGGAGGGGCTGCAGCTACTTTCACACCACACAAGACAAGGGAGGAGGGCACCTCCCGCCCACCTCCTTTCACCCATCAGTTTCTGTATCACCAGAACCTAGAGGGGAACTCCATCTGCCAACACAGCCCTGCTGGCTTTGCGTGTGGCTTGGATGACCTCCTGCTACAGTAACACCAGGGGCCCTGGGGCAGGTGGTTGGGAGCATCAGATAGTCCAGTATCTGAGGGGAAAAGCCCAGAGAGGAGGAGCTGAGTGGAGTCCGGCGGGCAAGACTGAAAGTCAGAAGGTGAACATTAGGCAGTCGGGTCAGTGTGGCCGCAAAGGGTTGGGGTTTATGACGGGGATTTCCCATAGGGCACTAAGACCAGGCCTGTACCCGAAAAGGCATAAGGCAGCATTCCCCAAAGGGAGAGCCCCCATGGTGATCCTCGGGACGGAGCCGCCCTCATCCTGGTCGCTAGGCCGAAGCCAAAAGACCCGGAGGCGGGCGCTCAGCTGAGGGAAGCACAGTTCAGCTCCGAGTCCTCCTGGCTGCCTGCTGCCACCTCCTCCGGCCCCTCTGGGCTGTCGGTGATGTTGGGCTCGCTGGAGCACTGCCGGTGGGGTGGCGGGAAGCTAGGCGGCAGGCGTAGGCCCTTGTCCTCGCCGCCAGGCTCCTCTCCTAAGCCTGAGTGCATCATGGTGGCCATGGCCAGCAGCTGGATGTCGGAGTGGGCGTTGGCCACCGTGTGTCGCCGGACACTGCCACACTTCTCCAGGTAGGCCTCCCCCTCTTGCTCCGTCAGAGGGGTCAGGGCCATCTCGTTCAGAGGCCGGCTGATGGTGGTCACTGGGGAGGCGTAGTTCAGGAGAGTGACCTTGGGCCGGACCCTGGAGTGGCGCCTGGCTGCAAGAGAAAGACCAGCGAAGGCTGTAACTGGGGAGGGGAGGGTGAGGGCCCAGAACTCAGAATCAGTTTGGGAAGTGGTGGCTCCCCCTTCGGGGGCAGCTTTAGTGGCAGCCCTGAAATGCAAGAGAAGAACCTGGCGATGCGTATGTGCACTGCCGCAATGTCACTGAGCGGGGGTGACGGTGTTCAGAGCAACGAGAGCAGCCCGAGCAAGATGCAGAGACCGGCAGAGACCGCCACAGCCCGGCTGGAGCACTGAGGACGTGCAATGGTGCAGAATGTGCCCAGGCAGGGAGGATGAGCCACGTCATGGGAGGGCCCTGGAAAGCCAGGTGGGACCATCTGCGACCCCTCAGACAAGACTTGGGGCAGTGGGGGCAGGTAGCTCTGCAGATCGAAGGGCAAGGCGGGGGCTGTGCTTCAGGAAGAGTCACCTGGCAGGAGCGGGCAGGGTTGGAGCCTGAGGGGCCAGAGTGGGGAGAGCCAGGGAGAAGGCTCATGCATGATTTTCTGAAGTAAGTATGGGTTACATGTGGGAAAAATCAGCACCAACATCAGAGCCGAGGTGAGCAGGGCAGGAACTAGAGCTGTGGTGGTGACGAGGCAAAGGTGAGGAAGAGGGTGGGCTGGAGACACCAGCCTGACACCACAGGGGCCAGCAAGTAAGGCTTCCAGGGAGGGGGCGGGGCAGGGAGGGGTCAAGATGAGGAGGTAGAGGGAGACTGAGGGAGGGGCTGCGGCTGGGGGGCAGAAGCAGCAGCTCGCCTCGGGCCACATGCAGCCTGAGAGGCACCCCTCCACAGATGGACATGCGGTTTTGAAGTTGGGGAAAGACACATGGCTAAAGATAGAAATTTGTGTATTTTCAAAGAATACTGAGGGGGCGTAAGGAAATGTTCACAGCACAATATTTGGTGACGACAGCAGAATACAAACAGTATCATTATATGCAATTTTCTCCTTTTTTCTACAAAACTGGGGTTACACCACATACATCCACACATGTATAAAAACCAAGAGATCTAGACATCAAAATATTGATAATAGTAGAAGGATGACTAGCGATTTTTAAAGTTTCTTTTTTATCCATATATATTTTTCCCCCAGTTTCATTACACGTGCACGCATCTTTCATAATGAGAAAAAAAACTTTTGGGATATGAAGACTGTGGAGTCACCTGGACCTTGGTAGTGGCTGGGGCCTTCTGAGTGAACATGACCTCTGTGAAAATGAAGAGGGGGTCAGGACCAAGTCACTGTCTTGTGCACCTGTGTGTGGGGTGGCAGGGGTCAGTCTAACAAGAAGGGTCACAGAATGACAATAAACTAAGAGCCAGCACACATGCATTGAAGAGCTTCAGCAGCTACTCTGAGCGTCTCGCATAACTGAACTAACAACATCCTCTCGACCCAGCGGGGTAGGACCGTGACCGTCACTGCCACTTCACAGATGGGGAAGCTAAAGCACTGAGAGGCTAAATAACCCGCCTGATGTCACAGAGGCGGCCAAGCTGGGACTAGAATACAGGTGTCGGCCTCTAGAAGTCAAGCACCTTTCTCACGGGCCCCACCGCATCCCAAGGGAGGCAACCGTAGGATGGGCCGGAAAGGAGGGAGAAGAACAGGAACGCTCAAGGAACTGAAGGCCAGGGAGAAGAGCCAGAGGAGGAGGCGTGTGTACCAGCGACACCCCCGCTCCGAGGCCCTCCTCCCTCCCGGCTTCACAGGGACCATGCCGGTCCAGAAGTCTACAGTGTGGCTGGGGCAGGGACCAGGGCAAGCCTGCCTCCCTCGGTCCCCAGGAAGCCTCCACTCAGGTATCGGCCTCTCCTCCTGCTCAGGCGTCTGCATCACGAACTAGATTAAAGACCTCGGCAGGGCAGAGGAGGGGAGGGCGGTGCGTTCCTGTCAAAGCCCCTTCTCCTTTTCAGCCACCCTCCTCCTGCCAGTGCACAGGTCTCTTGGCCTTCCAGTTGCCCGCCCCACTGTGCCTGTCACTGCCTTCCACAGCTCCCCCATCCCTGAGACCCCGAAGACCGCCTAACGCATCCCTCTCTCAGCAGGGCATGCTGCGGGGAGAAGTGGAGAGGGCCTGACTGCATGGGTGCCCTCCACACTCAGACAGGATCATGGGGGAAGACCCAGTCTCCGAAGGGCAGGAAGACAGCGCTCGCGGCTCACAGACTGGCCTTGGGGACACGGCCTGTGCTGCTCTGGTTCACTGTCGCCTCTTCCCCTGGATCTGGAGGCCCTGATACAAGCAGTCGTGGCTCCCAGAGTTCGTGCTCCTAGATGGGCATCGCATTGAGAGTGCTGTGTCTGTCCAGCTGTCCCCATCACTGGGCAGTTTACATGTCCATATATGCACGTATGTACAAGCATATGTGTGTATATGTGCATACGTGTCCATGTGTGTCTATACATGTGTGTGTATATATGTATGTACAATGACAAGAGAATGAAATCTTAACCCTTAGGACTAAGTCACCAAGACTACTGGCTTGCAGCCCCAAGGGAACTGTTTGAAGGTGACAGCAATTATTTCTCAAAATCAAATAATAATACATAGAATTTAGAGTTTACTGAGCGTGTTCCCATCCACTGTCTCACTGTTGAGTCCCAACCTCCCTCTGAAACACTAGGACGGCTCTCATTCTCCCCATTGTTCAGGTGAAGAAGACTGAGGCTTGGCCCCGTCCTCTGAGAATCTAAATGACAACGCCCAGACCTTCACCGCTACCTGCTACTGAGTCTCAGGGCGCCGCTGCGGCCCTTCGAGGACGTGCCCCTGAGCCAGCCCACTCTCTGACATCAGGGAATAGCACACGCAGCCTCCAGCAGGTGCCAGACAAGGCGCTGGGTCATCAGCCCCTCTCTTTGGGGAAGAACAGGGGACAAAACGCCAGGGAGCCACCAAGACAGAAGGATCTATGCCAGGCATTGGCAGAGGTCCTCTCTAAAGCATGGGTACCTGGATGCTCCAAGCCACGCGTTTCTATAATGTTCCCACATTTTTACAATAACCATGTATTACTTTTATGATCACAGAAATCGATACCTATAAAGCAGAAGCAGCGGAAGAGTTCAAAGCAGCACAGACCCCATTAAAGAACCATCCTTTAAAAAGATGCCCTTGAAGACAATTCATTTCTCTCCCACTGTTGTTAAAAGCCAGCACTCTAGGTGGGCAGCTGCAAAACCCAGGTTGTGGCCTGAACCCAACAGCCAGCCTGGCAGGAGACTGGGCCAGACTGTTTGGTGAGCATTCACTACGTGCAGATCCAGGAAGAGGAAAGAACTAGAACAAAGGCTGCGTCCAGGACGTGGAGGAAGGCGAGGGCCTGGGGGATAGACGTGCATGGTGGACACACACACAGCATCTCTGGAGAAAAGGAGAATTCGTTTGATGATTTCCGTAGTTCCCAGCCCGGTAGAAGGAGCGAGCAAGGTGTCTCAGCTGGGTGCCTGGACGGTCCATCTCTCTCACACCGTTAGTCCAGCAGCCCTAAGTCCCTGGAGGCTCAACAAGCAGCCAACTGACATGAGAGGCCAATTGGGCTGCTGATGAGAACTGGAGCCCGAGTGAGGGCGGCCAGCCTGGAGGAGGGGGTCCCCATGACAGCTGCCCCTTCTTTCAACAAATACACCTTGAGCTTTGTGCAAGATGCTGTGCTCGCTGCTGAGAGCAAGAGAAACACAAATCTGACGTGGGACCTGCCCAAAGGCGGGAGAGGTGTGTGAAAAATGGGTTGCTTCACTGACACGATCTCCTCCTGATCATTTTGCAGAAAAGGAACCTGAAATTGAGATGCTAAATCATTCTACCATCACAGTTAGTGCTGAAAAGGGGGATTCAAGCCCCGGACTGACAGCAGAGCCCCTGACCACTGGGAGGCCCGACCACAAATCGTTGTTAAAACGAGCTCAACGTGGCGAATGTCAGGGCTGCAGAGACAGCGCTCTGGGGATTCAGAGGAGGAGGAGTCGCGGAGAGGGGGCGCTCCAGGTGGGCCTGCCCCTTTGGGAGGGACTGACAGACTGAGCCCCCCACTGACAGTGCGCTCACTCCCTCCCTTGGAGAAGAGGGCTGTGCTGGGCCTGGGATGCAACGCGGGCCACGTGCAAGGGGGAGACCAACAGACAATCAGGCTGCGACCACACCGCAGGGCAAGGGCCAGGACGTGGCTGGGGGGTCCGGAGAAAGAAGGGAAGGGGAGGCACGAACAGCTCCTCCTCCGGAGTGATGCCAGGGGCCCAGAAAATAGCGGGTGGCAGCTCTGCCTGGGCCCTGCCCTGAAACAGGGCAGCTTCTTCCTCCTCTGTGCTCAGCCTTCTGTGGCTCAGAGACGTTCAGTAACTTACTCCAGGGCACACAGCTGAAGCCCAGCGCTTGCGGTTTCCAGGGCCCGCCTGGCTGCCTCTGCCTCTCTCTTTAGGGCTGCCGATGACTGGGAGAGGCCTCCCACTCTCCCTTCTGCTTTCTGGGCAGAACGTTTTGGCTCCCAAGACTGGGTGCGGGCACAGCCAGGACCACAGGGGCCGCTGGACTGCGAGAGTCCCCCAGGCAGACAGTGTTCCCTCGCGAAGCTCCCATTAGATGCCAGAGCCAACCCCCAGACAAGTACGCTGGCTGCATCCCCAGTGAGGTCAGCCCCTTGGGGGCCCTCGGGAGGCCTTAAAACTGAGTATGAGGCCTAGAGCTGACAGTCTGCTCCCACACCCTTGCTGCCTGCTCTCTTTTCTTCTTCTCTTTTGAAAATTTGCATCAGGGAACGTGAGGCCCCGCCACTCTGAGAAGGAAATCTCCATTAAGGGACTGATTAAGTTGTGGATGCCCATCGCAAGGGTGCCCTTTGAGCAGGGAGAGGGGCTGGGCCTGGCTACCTCCTGCACATACCTCCCGGCCTCCCCCTGCCCGTCACATGGGGTGGGGTGAGGGGAGCCTTATTTCTCCCTCCCTCACTCCCCAGGCGCCCTGCAGAGCCCCGGCATTCATCCCTGGCTCCGCTCTGGAGCAGCCCTGGCAGCTCCTTTCAAGCCCCCAGAGAGAAGCAAAGCCTGAGGGAGGCGAGCCTTTGTGGGGACTCAGTTCCCAGGCCTTTGATCTCCCAGGCTTGCTGGTAGAGTGATCCCCTAAAGCGGGCATTGTGACCCCTGCACCCCACGTCCACGGTGGGCATCCCTCTCCAGGCCCCGCACCCAAAAGCCATGAGGAAGAGAAGTTACTGTATCTTGGGGGAAAGGTTCCTCCCCCTAGAGGCACAATGGAGAGAGATGTGTGGGAGGCCAGGGCTTCTGTAGGGGAGAAACCCAGCGCTACCCGAGCCAAGGCGGCAGCTGGAAACCTGGGAAACTAGAAAGGTGGAGCGTGGTCTGGCCTCTGACAAATCGGCCTTTTGTTTGTTTTTTAAGATTTCATTATCCTCCTCCTCACTCCCACACTCCCTCTGCCCTAGAAAAGTGACAGCTTTGGAGGGGAGGACACACATGTATGCACCCACATGCACACACACACGCGTACACACTCCATCATGGACTTGAAATCATCTTTTCTCTCTGAAGCAAGCCTTGCACACCCATGGGGTGAGGCCTAACTCCTCAGACCCGTGGGCCTGGCCGGCAGGAAGAGGGCCTGCCCCCTGAGTCCTGGGACTGACATGCTTGGGCACGTGAGTCAGTGAGGAGCCCCTGGTAAACCACCTCTCTGGCTCTGGTCCCCTACCCCATGTGACACCAGGGACAGTTCTTAACAACCTTGTGTCTGAGGTCACAACAGCACAGCCCCCCACCACCACCCCAGGAGTCAGGCCAAGTGCTTGCTCGGAGCCCAGAAGGTGATGGGCACTTCACAAGTGGTGGCTTTTGAGTGATGGTCCCAGCTTCTCTGGACCCCTCCACCCAAGTCAGGCCCGGAGGGGCCGTGGCAAAGCCCTCCCATGGGTCCAGGGGTTTCTCACGTCCATTGTGTCTCCTCAGTCTTGACATGATCTGGTTGGCACAGAGCTCCTCTCCCACAGGCAGGAGAAATGTTACTGCCTCCATTTGACTTGGCGGGGTTGAGGGAGACTGAGGCCCATAAAGTCCTCCCTTTATCTGGAAAGGGGTGCCCTCAAGAAGGAAGGCACTATTGTGGCCACTTTAGCTTTTCGGCGTCCAGAGGCTTGGGATGACAAGTTGGCCTTGGACACCTCTTGGGGGTTAAGGTGCGAGAGAGAAGGACCAGTCCCTCTGCTGTCCTCAGCAAAATCACAGTCACCGCCTAGGAGTTGACAGGGGCAGGTGGGGGAGGGGGAGGAGTGTGGGACAGCCGGTAAAGTGCGAACAACTCGGGGCTTTAAGGCCTGGCTCCCATAGCCAAGCGGCCTCGACCGTCATCTGCCTCACCTGTGAGTGGGAACATGGCACCCGGCCCACCCTGCACAGTGCCCAGGACAGGGTCCGTATCTAGTGGCTTCCACTGCCGTCAGCCACTCTGCAACTCTACAGCTCCCTCAGTTCCTCAAACGTTACACCCTCCTGCTTCCTGCCCCTCCACCTCAAAAGTCCTTCCCAAAGATCCTTCCCTTTGCCTGGGACAGTCTTCCCTCCCCATTTACTCAGCTAACTTGTATTCATCCTCCAGGTCCCATTACAGATGTCACTTTCTCCAGGGAGTCTTCCCTGATTTCCCAGTCCAGATGCAGTCCCCCTGCCATGGGCCCTGTACTTCCCCGCTCAGAGCACTTGTAAACTGATGAGTCATTGTCTATCGTTTGTGACGGCCTCACTGGACCATGCGTGCCAGGGGGCAGGAATGGGTCGGTTTTATCTCTGATGTACCTGCAGCACCTCACAAGGTGCCTGGGACAGGGTCTCAGTACTCATTTGCTGAAATAATTATGTAACTTTTTAAAAAATCAGAAGAGGGTCATTTCCTCTGCTCTCTGCCCCTACTGTGACAACGCCCGAGATAAGGATTGTCTTAGTACAGGAATAAAACCTCAGGCATTTGCTATATAATTTGATGAAAGTATGTATCAGTCTTACTATAGCTAAAAAGTTGAAGGTAGCCCCTCTTAGAGTGAGTCCTCACTGAACAAACTTGAGAATCCACTCTCGTTCCCAGCTCCAGGCCCAGCGGATGGTGGCGTCCCTGCCAAGGCCTGGCTAACCTGCTAGCGTCCAGACATCTGCCTGGATCCCCCTGCCCCAAACTCGAGGGCCAGTCAGCCCAGCTGAAGCAGGAAGGTGGCACCCAGCTCATGGTCGGGGAGGGCAGGGGACTGTTTTCCTTCAGCTGTCATAGCTACGCCGCCTTGTGTCAGCTCCCGCGGGGAGGGAGGGATGGAGAGAGGGTGGAGGACCTGGCAGGCAGCGGGCTGGGGCCAGCACCCTCTGATCTGTGTGGCGGCTGTGGTTAAGCTGGTGTCTCCAGAGAAACGCGAAGGAGCCCTGAAAACTGCGGCCGGCCCTGCCTGTTTCTGCAGCAGTGAGGCCCAGGGAGGGGCGGGCACCTCACTGGAGTCTGCTCCTCTCCCCTTTCCTTTGAAGCTCAGACACGTCTTCATTCATGCAAGAAAGGGGGAAAGGGACACAAATTCACTGAATCCCTTTCTCTGTGGGTGCTGGTCACCCTGGCCTCAGGTGCAGACATCACCCATCTGTCTCACAAGTATTTTTTGAGCGCCCACTGTATACCAGGCATGATTCCGGCTGCTGGAGACAGAACAACAAAGAGAAACTTCCTGCATTTGTGGGGCTGACATTTCACAGGGTAACTGAGGGACATCTTTTATGATATTGTATAGCTATTTCCCCATCTAGACCGTGGTCTCACTGAGAAAAGGAACACATCCAGTTCATCTCCAGATCCTCCAAGGTGACCAGTACGGAGCCTGAATGCGAGCACTACAGCCACTGCAAAAGGCCCCAGTTGGATTTGTCCCCCAATCCGAGAGCCCCTGTCCTTGGTGTGAAGGCCCTGGCAGTACCGACAGAAGCCGAGCGGGGACCGGCAGCTCAGTCTCCAGCCACGCAAACAATGAGCTGGCTTCACATTTCGAGCTGCTGTCATAGGGAAATTCATCACACGTGGTTTTTCCACTCATGGGGATGGGGGGTGGGGTGCAGGAAGGCACAGTTTCTGGTATCAGAAACAGGAAAACTCACATCACAGGCACAGGAAAAGATCAAAGCCGCTGATCAAAGATGCGGATTAGACAAGCACCACCACAGAGGTACATAGGTATCGGTCCCTGGGGAGGAATTGCCAAGCGGGGAGGTTACCACGACACAGGCCAGCGGGAGACGTGAACCATGAACAGGCAGAGGTGTGCACGACCCACGTGGAAAACAAAGGCACGTCATCGGGACCCAGTAAAACATGGCTGGTACCATTATCACCAAGGCTCCTGGTGAGCCATGCCCTTACCCAGTGTGTAGGTGGGGCCTGAGACACCGCGGTCCTCACTGACGCCCAGGAAAGGAGAAACCACCCGCTTCACCAGCTCCTCCAGCTGCAGATAACCTTCACTTGGGCCTGTGGGCTCGTGAACGCTCTGGAAATAAACAATCAAGAGAGACAAAGGTCGGTCCAAGTCATCATGGCCAGCCGATCCTGACTGCCCTCCTGCTACATTCAAGTCAGTGACATGGAGGGCTGCACCCTCGTGGCCGGAACCAAGGAAACCCAGGCCTGAAGCCCCAGGAACCTGTCGGGAGCAGCAGTGATCAGAACCGTGTGTGGAGAACACCATGGCCTCTCCGACGCAAGGCCAGTGGGACTGTCCCCACCCCAGTCCTGGGTTGAGGTCTGACCATCCCAACCTCACCATCCCAGTGACTCCTCCACACCTTTCACACAGCACGTTATGTAAGCACTTTACAAGTTTCAGAGCACAGAGGCCTCCCAAAACCCCAGAAGAGAGGCACCCTCATCATCCCCTTCCACGACGTGGAAAGTAAGAACCCGAGAGCGTAAGTAACTTGCCCAGGAAAACACAGCTGGCAAGTGGCAAAACCCTGGGACTGGAACACAAGCTTTCTGGCTCCAAGCCCATCTTACAGTCCCTTGTTAATAGGCTAGAAAGGAAAGGGGGTCTGAATACGGAAAAGTCCAAAACAGTAGAAGAAAGGGAGCGTTATTGTGGAACTAGACACACATTTAGCACCAAGATGAAGAATCGGTTCAAAACCCCAGCATGACAAGAGTCCTTGGTGCTGAAAATGGCCAGGAAGTCACCAAGGTTTTCCAGAAAGCCAGCAGACTCCAAAGGAATTTAGTTTCTCATGGCAAAGAACTGGAAGCTCTCATCCTCCTGCGTTGAGGGGCTGCCAGGGAGCAGAGACAAGACTTCGCAGGGGGCTGTGCTCGGCCCAGCCGGTTGTCCCCTCAAATCCTCAAAACAGAATAGATTTTAAATCACCCCAACTTGAAAAGTGAAAACTCTCTCCTGCATTGCAGTTTTAGAGATGGGACCATGAAGTGGGAAGGGCCAGCCCAGCAGGTTGGAGATCCCTGGCCAAGGGTAAAGCTCCCAAAGAAACCGGCTCCATCACACTGAGACGGGAGGTGGCGGGGGCAGTGGGATGGAGGGGGCGGCTTCAGGAAACACCGTGGAGGCTGAGGATGGGGCTACGGTGCGGAAGACCTGGAGGTTAGGACTGGGAAAGTGTCAGAAGAGAAGAGATACAGAGAAAATGTGAGTGGGGCTGCCTGGCAATTGAAGAGGGTGATGACGAGGAGACGGTTTGATGGTTTTTCATGCTCCCAGGTGCCGATACAGCTCAGCAGGAGCTGATGCACTGGGAAAGGCTTGCTGTGGAAATAAGGTGCTTCATTTAGGAGTCTGGGATTAATAGATCCACATTACTGTATAAAAAATAGATAAACAACAAGGACCTAGTGTACAGCACAGGGAACTACATTCAATATCTTGTAATAACCTATAAAGGAAAGGAATTGGAAAAGAAAAGAATATATATATGTGTATGTATATGTATAGCTGAACTGCTTTGCTGTACACCTGAAACTAACATTGCAAATCAACTACCTGTCAACAAAAAATGAAATTAAAAAAATAATGGTAAAATAATTTTTAAAAAATGCTTCACTTAGGAAGGTTCACACAAATTTGCCCAAAGGGAAGGGAATCCTCAAGGCTCTACAGGGAGCAGGGTGGTTACTCATGTTCCCAGGGACACACCCCAGGCCTCAAAAGCAGAGCAGTTTCAGCCCCAAAACCACCAGGGTTGGGTTTCAGAGCTGAGGAAACTTTCTCTGTCTCGTTTTTTTATGCCTGGATATTTTCCATCTGACTACTCCTCTCAAGCCTTGCCCCGCCTACAATCCCTCAGTGCTAAACAGGACGGGAGCCAGAGCGAGGAGCGAGGCAAGAGGTGGGAAGAAAATGGCCTATGAACACGTGATTTAGAGCTGATGGTCCTCTCCCAGGGTAGCTGCTGAGAACTGAGCTCGCACACCCGGTAGTCGGGATAGGCTGAGTGGGAAGGTAAAGAGAGCAAGAGCCCGGGAATGGGTGGCAAAGCCAGCTGTCTTATAAATCAGTACGTGACCTTGAGCCACTTCGCCCACCTCTCTGAACCTCCATCTCATCTGTGAAACAGGAAAACAGGGACTGTTTCCTTGCCTGACTTCCCAGATGGTCGTCACGGCCACGGAGATTCTCTGACTGTTCCTCCCTCTGCCAAGAGAAGGGACCCCAAGTGAGGGTCACCACCATGGGATCTGGGGCCAGAGACCTGGGGTCAGTCCTCCTCAGGCTCTTATTAACCAGGGCCATCGTTCACTGAACAAGTGTTTAATTAACACCTACTATATGCCAGAGACTGCACTGGGTGCCTTGACCTGTCGAAGTCATGGGCCCTGGGAGACAATGTTCCAAGCAGAGGAACAGTGAGTACAAAGATCAGCTGCAATTTGCAAATATTAGCCAAATATTAGATTAAAAAAACAAATTTCTTCTGTATAGCACAGGGAACTATATTCAATATCTTGTAATAACCTTTAAGAATATGAAAACTACTATATGTATGTATATGCATGAATGGGACATTGTTCTGTATGCCAGAAATTGGTGCTTTGTAACGGACTATACATCAATAGAAAAAAAAAAAAATCAGCTGCAGCAGAGCGAGGTGATGAAGGCCAGTGTGGCCGGAGGGCCGAGCAGCAGGAGTCAAGTCCCAGGTGAGGCTGGAGATGTGGGAGGGGCCAGAGGCCAGGGACAGACTTGGGCTGTCCTCCTGAGACCAGCGGGGACCACTGAGGAGTTTGAAGCTGCCCCATGGAGAGCCCACTGGTGGGGGCCAGGGCGATGCAGGAAGATTCTCGCAGGCAAGCAGCGGAACCTGTCTTTAGGGAATTCAGGGGGACGATGACAGCTTTTGTGAATGGTCATTGGGTGTGTAGCATGGGGCCTGGAATGTTGGGACATGGTGAATGTGTTTCATGATCACAGAGTCAGGCCCCTCCTGGTCAACTGTCCACAGGGGAGAGCCTCACCTCAGCTCTCCTTCCGATAAAACAAACCACACCACAGCAACAACGAAGGATTCACCTCCCATCCCCAGACTATAGATGAAAATGGGAGGCTGGAAGACCAGCTCTCTTTTCCCAGTCTTCTTCTCTGAAGCCCAAAGAGCTCCTTTTCCTTTTTAAATTTGTTTGGGGGGAGGTAATTAGATTGATTAATTCATTCATTCATTTAATGGAGGTACTGGGGATTGAACCCAGGATGTCATGCATGCAAAGCACACACTCTACCACTGAGCTCTACCCTCCCCACCACAAAGGGCTCTTTTCTAGACTCCTTACTCAGGACCCAAGCTCTATTTTTCGTTTCTCAGACCTGAGCTCTGCACACATAATTTCTCTCCCCCTTCCTTCTCCTTCCTTTCCATAAAAACACTTGACCTGACATTCCAGCCAATTTACACCCCTCTCGTCCTGCTAGGCAACTCCTCCTCCTCTCTGATTTCAGGAAAGGGGGAGAAGCCCAGAAGGACGGCCGAGCTAGGGAACCAGGAGAGAACGGCAGCTGGGGGCGGGGTGGGTGGGCAGGGAGAGATCGGAGGTCCCATGCCCGACGTTCCACCCCTGCTGAGAGGGCAGCCGGGGGTCCTCACCAGCCTGCTCAAAGGTGAAACTGTCTTCCCTGAGGACAGGCTCAGGGCTGATGCTGCAGCATCTGAACTTGGTCCAGAGGTCAGAGAGGCTTAGCGGCCACGTTTTGGGAGTGTCCCTAGGCCACAAGCCTTATTACTTGGAATTGTGCACCTTTATCCATGGATCTGGGCTCGCTGAGGCCATGTTTATCCTACTTGCTCCTACTCAAGGTCACAGCCGATTGGGCAAAGGGAGTCGTGTAGCACGAGCTGGACCGATCCAAGTCTTCCCCTGAGTGTACACAGTTCGGAATCTTACTACCTCATGCTGAGGGACCTCAGGCAGGCACATAAACTTCCTGGGTCTCAGTTTCCTCATCTATAAGATGGCAATGACAACAGGGCCCAACTCACGAGGTTTAGATTATTTGATTCAGAAAGCAACTCACTTTTAAATTCTGACATTGACCCGGGCCGGGCACGTAGCCAGGAACCAGAAAACGTCAGCCCACCTTCCTAACGTTGATTTCAAATTGGGATTGAGAGACGCTAGGCGACCATCTGGGTCGTCCCCTGGTGGCAATACACAAGCTGTGGGATTCCAGTTTTCATCAGGTACAAAGCAGGGTACTGAAGGCAACTGCAGAGAGAGGGGCGGGGGGAGGAAGGAACAGAAACCAAGCCCCAGAAGGACTAGGCAGGGCTGGGAGAGGCAGCGTCAGAGAGAAACCAAGTAGACCGGATACAAGTGGAGACCAGTCAGTGGAGAGAGGCTGGCAGCTTTGTGGCCCAACGTGGTCTTACTCATGGCTATAGCCCCTGAGGACCTTTCCCATGAGCTCCTGTTTTGGCTCAAGCTGGGCTGCAGTGGGATCTGGTTGTGACTTACAATGAGGCTCCTTGACTTGACAGGGGGCGGGAGAAGGATGTCCACTCCCTGAAGGACAGGCTGTGCTTTTCTTGCTCCCCACCAACCACCCCACCACCACGGGGAACCCAGTACCCAGCACAGCACCAGGGACCTGGACGGTGCTTGGTGGATGCACAGCAAAGGGACAAATGAACTGGACCGTCAATGACAACACTACAGAAGACTAAACTGGACTCCGGTCACGTGGTCCCTTCCCCCTTGTCCCTCAGTGGCCTCTTCACTCTTCCTCACCTGCAGGACCAGCAACATCTGGACGATGGATGAGGGGGGCTGGGGCTGGGCCAGCAGCAGCAAGTCGTCCAGCTTCACCTTCAGCAGGACCAGGTCGCGGAAGCCCAGCAGGGAGATCTGGCGGATGGTCAGCTCCTGGCCCTGAGGAGGAGAGAAGAGGCAGGGTTGGAGGTGAGAGCTCACAGGATCCGCTATCAACCACATGGTGGCCAGGATGACAAATGAATGGGGCGAGGACAAGGTTCCAGGGAGGCTGTCAAAGATTCGAAGACTTGGCCCCTGTTCTTCAGAAAAAAAGCCTTTATTTAAGGTAAGGTGTGACTCCCTAATTCAAAAAGATAAATGTACCCCAGTGCTCACAGCAGCATTAATGACAATAATCAAGACATGGAAGGGTCCATCAACAGATAAGTGAAGATATACATGGAATATTACTCAGCCATAAAAAAGAATGGGCCTCTGCCATTTGCAACAACATGGATGGATCTAGAGGGTATTAAGCTAAGTGAAATAAGTCAGACAGAAAAGGGCACATGCTGTATGTTATCACTTCCATGTGGAATATAAAAAATAATACAAACAAATGAATATACCAAAACAGATACAGAGAATAGACTAGTGGTTACCTGTGGGCAGAGGGAAGGGGGCAGGAGCAACATAGGGGTAGGGGATTAAGAGATACAAGAGAGCAAGATGAATAAGCTACAAGGCCATATTGTAGAGCACAGGGAACATAGCTGGTACTTTGTAATAACCTTAAATAGAGTACAACCTATAAACACACTGAATCATTATGTTGTACACCTGAAACTAACATAATACTGTAAAGCAATTATAATTCCATAAAAAAAAAAGATAAGGTGTGACTCAACCTGCCGAAATGACCCAAAGGTGACAGCAGCCCAGCAAAGTGGGGGCCACGCTGTGCTGTGAGTGGTCAGGAAGGAGGAAGAGAGGGGAAGGAGGGGAGAAATGAGAGAAAAGGCCAACAGCACCTCCCTACATCCAAGGCTGCCTCCTCAGCGTCACCCGTGAAATTCCCGAGCACCTATTGCACGCCCGGCAAAGAAGGAGACACGTTAGACTGACCTGTTAGACTCAGACGCAGATGCAAGTAACTTAGGAAGAAACATCACTGGGAAAGTAGAAGAAAGAGATCTGTTCAGCCATGTAGGGTGGGGGCTGAGGATGAAAACAGTAACTAATCTGCATTAACAGCCGACCCTCACTAAGCCGTGACCACGTGCCAGGCATGATTCTAAACTTCCTGGGTGTAAGTAACACGTTTCATCCCCACGCCCATCAGTGGAGACACACACTATGGCAAAACCCACTCCACAGATGAAAAACCTTACAGCCCAGAGTGACAGGAATTGACCCAAGGTAGAGATGGATTTCAAACCTGCACTATTGGATTTTAAGGCTCCTAAAGTTTCCCAAAACAGAAAAGGGAAAGGGGGCTCACTTCCCAGACTCTCCTTTGCACATGTATACACAGCACTCCCCAAATCTTGGCTGCTCTTGGTAGACATCAGCTATCATTAGGGTGTCCTCCCAAAGAGGTACCTCCCATGCCTCCAGCTGGCCAAGGTTTAAGGAAGTTCTGCATTTCCTGTAACTCCTTAGGGTTTTACAGCAACTCCAGAAAGGGTGGTTCTGCCATCCCCACATGCCCCCACCCTCTGGTCCTAGGAGACACATGCCACCCATGCCTTATAGGCTCCATTTAACACTCTTGCCTGATGCCTCTCCCAACCATCTCCAACGGCAGTGGTCCCCCCACTCATCACTTTTCCAAGTTTTGATTTTTTTTACACCACATCCCAGCACTCGGCACTGACTTCCTCTCTCATACCTATCTGTGCCCTCACTTCATCTCCAGGACACCTTTCCTGTAAAGGATAGAAAAAGAAGGCAGAGTTCCACACCCCAGAGCACAGCAGGCACTCAAACACATCTGTCCAAAGAGGAAGCAGGTCTCACACAGACACTTACACAGGCAGTTGTGAGAAGGTCCTAGCTGGACCAAGAGAGACCTCTGGGGATGTTACTATCAGGAGTGGGAACACCCAATTCAGGGGTTCTCACAGTAGGATGTCTGGGTCAGCAGGAGCACTTGGGGAGTTGTGGGGGAGGGGTGGACAGAGGCAATACTGGCTGTGGTCAGATCTGACCATTTTCCAACTGCATCACACTCAGAACTGTACAACTGAGCTCCTGCCTGGATCTGAGGCTAAGAGGGCCCCTCTTGGGCCTCCAATGATCTTACAGGGGCCATGCCCGCCCAGATCCCTCACTCCCCATTCTAAACCCAGCTGGGTACCCGCACCTTGGAATTCCCTGCCCAAATGGTCTTAAGCGGGACCTGGGACTACACACCCTCTCCAGGAGGGCGGCCAAATAAAGCAGAGGATGTCCAGTTGAATTTGAATAGTTTTCTTAGTATAAGTGTATCCCACATCTTGCATCCTTCATTGTAAACTTGATGGAACTCAGCATCCTGTATTCTGATTGGCTAAATCTGGCGACCCTACCTCCCAGGTGTGTCTTCTCAAGACCCACTGCTGGCCAAGGAGTGAGCACTGCGTGGAAGGGAGAAGTCTGCGGGCACGGGGGGTGAATCGTCCACAGAAACACTATAAATCCTCTCGCGGGGTGCGGGATGGAGCTGAGGTTGGGATGAAAAGAGCAGTGGGCTGCAGGCCTGAAGCTTCTCCTGGAATTGTTAGGGGCAGGACTGAAGTGGCAAATGGACTCTGTGGGCATAACTTCCCAACTGAAAAACATTTGACATGTATTTAAAAGCATTCTGAATTCCTTTAAAATACAATTCAGAGGAAAAAAAAAGTACATGGGCCCTTACGTGTGGTACAAGGTTCCTCTGTGAATGGCTGTGTTATCACTGTGCCCGTGCCTGCACTTCAACAAACCTGATTACTGTGAAGCCTCCACCTCAGGGGAGGAGGGGGGCAGCGAGCTCCTGGCAGTGGAAGCAGATGACAGAGATGCATGTTTTGGAGAAGAATATCTGCTGGTCAGTCTGCCCCGGGGCGTCCATTCTGGCCCGGCACTGGCCAGTCTCGCCCCAGGAGGGTAGACGGAAACTAACACATGTGGTGGGAGGAGCTAAGGTCGCAGGAGAAGGACCACAAGAGGCGCTACTTACTCAGTTTCTCATTTTGCAACAGACGAAATGGAGCTGTGCTCAGAGAGGTGAAATGAGTTTGCCCAAACCCAACTACTGAGTCTGAATCTGGCGTTCTTTCGGCTACATCTTGTCTTCAAGAAAGAAGAGGGCAAGAAAAGGTCTCCTTTCCCCATCTTCCCTACTTCTGAAGAGTAAGAAGAAACAGGCCACTCCAAGAATACCCAGACATACTCAAAACCAAGAGGGTGGACAAGCGCCCACGAATTACTAGTTACTCAGTCACTGCTCCTTGCTTGAGGTTAGATGCTAAATATAGAACAGAGAGCCCTGCAAAGATGTCCGAGGTCCTCGGCCCAGTATCCTGGCTCTCTCCCATTCACTGGCAGGTCCCAGGCCGGCAAGAGGTCGTTCCCCAGTGAGACTGACCTGAACCGGATAGAATATTGCCTGCAGGGTGGGGAGAGTCTCAGTGAAGAAGTGGTCCCAGACTTCAGCCAGAACCTCAATGCGATTTTCACCTACACAAGGGCGAGAAGATGGGAGGGGAGAAAGAAAGAAAAGAACTTGGTCATTACTCGCAGGAGACCCCAGGTGACAGTTCCATGTCCAGTGGAGCTTGGGGGTGGTTGGCGGGGGGGGGGGGGGTTCATACCTACATTTGATCTGTAAGGTGTTACCACAGTAAACGTGGGATTGGATGGGAAGGCTCAACTGAAAATATGCAAATAGGCCTTCTCTCCTTTAATCCAGAAAAGGGAGCTGAATTTTGAGATGCACATAACTGCTATCATCACGAGGATGGTTACAACACTATCAGGCACTGTGCAAGACCATTTATTTGTAAGATAGCTCACAAGTAGACTCTATTACCCCATTTTACCGCTTGGACAGGCCAGCTATCCGGGCTCAGAGTCACACAGCTAGAAGGCAGAGCTGGGATTCCAGAAACCACGCTCCTGACCAACGTAATCCAGGAAGACCATATGCACAGTTATATATTATTCTGTTTTTGTAATCCCAGGAGACTGGCTTTTCAGTCTAGATTTGAGCTGTCAGTTGAGGGAGGTAAAAAGAGGGCTTAGAAACTGTCACTTCCACCCACGGCTTTGCAGTAACCAGCAGGGCAACAGTCTCTGAATAGTCTCTGCAAAGCACAAGACCCACCCCCAGACACCATGCCTACTCCCACCCCTCAGAGCAGGAAGCCCAGGCCCTGGCCAAGCGCCACCCCCAGGGTAGATGGACACGGGTCACCCAACGCCACCGGAAGGCTGTGTGAGGAACTCTGCACCTGCAGGAAAGGCGGGCACTGGCAGAAAGGAGCCTGTGTGGGGGCTGCTGTTTAATGACCTAGATAACAGAGATGCCTGGGCACCATCTCTGCTCAGCTGAGGCTGGGAAACTGGGTCAGCCAAGATTAGACACTGAGATGCGTCTGGTAAAATGTTGCCAGTTCCAATAAACAGGTCTTGATTCATTTAGCATCGCCCATCTATTGACTTAATGGACAACAAAAGCAGTGCCTGGGAAAGAGAACAGAACAAGGCATGACGAGTAGCCAGCAGGGCCAAAGACGTGCAGATTTTGAAAGGTCAGAGTGAAATACGCTGGGGGAAAAATGCAAAGCCACAGCACCCTCTACTTTCCCCTGCCAAGCGCCAATTACACTCTGTTGGAGTCGCTCATTTACTTCTGTCTCCTCCACTAGAACGGGAGTCGAGGGCACCAGCCCTGTCTGTCCTGCTCACCATTCTATTTTAGCACATAGTGTGGTGCCTAGTGCATCGGTAAATCAATATTTGGAAATCTCTGAATGAATGAATGGCAAGTATCAAATGTACCGTTTTTGCAGATGCAAGCACTGGTGAGTGGAATGAGGTTACCTTTCAACCGAAATATGAGGCTGGACACAGTAGGACTTAATAATTAGCTTCAGAATTTCCCTTTGCTCTTAGATAAAGAAAACCTCCACAACCTGGGCAACCTGGTGGGAGTCTGTTTCCTTCTTCTGTGTTTTCATCCTCTTCTGTCTTCCCCTCAGCCATCGGGTCCTAACTCTGTGAATTTATTTCAGCCCCTCACACTCACCATGATCCTTCATGCCACCGGGCCTTTGCACATGCCAGTCCCTTTGCCTAGACTGTTCTCTCCCTCCGCTCTTTGCCTAACCTACATTTGTTTGTCTCTCTAGGTTCAACTCCAGCCTCAATTCCACAGGACAGTCTCCCTCACTGGTCAAATCCCCCTACTATGGATTGTATTCTTTGTACTTGCCCTGGTAGCAGTTTTATATTTGATGGTGGTTTGATTAGTATCTGTCCCCACCACCGGGTTGTAAGCTCCACGAGGGCCTGTAGTCCTACGAAGTTTTTGTTCACCACTGTGTCCCCAGCACTAAGCAAAGTATCTGGTAAACAGTAGCTCATCAATAAATGTGTGAATCAATCACCATCCTCATCTCAAATGTAAGCTATGCTCGTTCACCACAAGGAGGAGTCGAGAAGTCAGGAGGACCATGTGAAACGTTAGGTCATCCTGGTACCTAAAACCAAGGTGGACTCCAACACCTGGTTAATGTATCTCAAAGGAGAAAAGGCTATTCCAGCTCGTATATTGATGGCCTTTATCCTAAGCTTTCCATTACAAAGACCAGCAGAGGCCCTCCTGACCGGAAGAAAGGGAAGGAGAGTCCTGTTGGTCACTGCTGGTGCCTACCTACTCCCCTTCCCCGCCAGGATGGAACACCCGTTGGCACATGAGGTAATCCTCCAACCCGGCAGCAGGAAGGCGCCTCTCCGGGGAACCTGCGTCTAATTGCTGGCTGCAAACTTCAGAGAGTGATGGGGGTTTTGGAAAGTGTTCAGAGAAGAACATCAGAGACACAGGCTAACAAAACAGAGTAGCCCTGGGAAGAAAGGGTTAAAGGAAGGAGATGACTTCACCTCCAGGAACAGCCCACAAGTCAAGGACTTAGCTCCCTGCAAAGATGAAAGGGGTTTGGATGGAAGGTTCTAGAGGACTGCCTATAAAAACGATCCTCTAATTGCCATGGAAGTTTAGATCACCAGAGGTATACAGAAGAGGTACGAGAAGCTTCTTTAAAGCCATGGGCACTACAGTTCTAGAAAAGATTACTGAATGTAACCAGGCATGTTCTGTCCACGAAAGAGCAACACGTGGGTGGGAGCTGCCTCTGCCCCACTGCGGACCGCAGGCAGGGCAGACGTTCACACGCTACTTGGTCAGTAAAGTCTGATCAGTGATACGATGGATCCTATCCATTGTTTCCAAACTCTATTTTATAGCAAGAGAATCCTTTGAATCCAAACAAAATCTTTCTTGGAGTTATCACACATAAATTAAAAAGTGGAGATGTTCTGGTTGAAGTTGTGAAAACCCTACAGATTCCCTACCTGCCCCCTTCACTGTGCAAAAAGGACCCTGACACCTGGACCCCGACACCTGGACCCCAGGACGGCAAGCGACCCAGAGAGAACACCTTGGGGCAGAAGCACAGAACCTCGGATGCCCTGCGTTTAGCCCATCAGCTCTGTGCCCAGGTTTTCACTCTGAGTGGAGCTACGCTGGGTGTCACTTGGGCAAGAGACATTCAACTTTCCCTTTTAAGGGTCTTTGAATCTCTGGGTTCGCTCAGTGTCTCTTTCATAAGGCTGGTTTCCCACATTTCCAGGAGCATGGAATAACTCCCCAAGGGATTTACAAATAATGTGGGTAGAGACCAGGCAGCCACCTTCCACCCTGTGTACTCGCCTCACTCCTAAATGCAAAAAAGGCCATGAAGCCCTTGTCAAAGCGGGTCTTTCAAAAACAAGACCTTGGGTTTGTGGGTATTTGTAAGGTTGAATGAGTGTCAGCGTAGCTGTATTCGAGGGAAACAGGTTTGAGGGACACAGGGCTGCAGGTTCAGTTAACTCTCAAATACACAGAGGTCAATTTCGAACCGCTCTTTTTCCAAAGTTTTGGTGAGCACTTCCTGTGGGACCTTCCAGTGTCAGTTTCTCATTTTTCTTCCTGCTTATCCTTCTAGGAGACACTTCCCTGGACACCAGTGTCTTTCCCAGGGAAGGGGGAGAAAAAAAAGGGATGACCTATTGTCTGGTAAGTCTGAATCTAAGAGTAAACTTGACCTACAGATAGAGGCCTCTCGGCTGGAGCAGGAAGAAAGGAAGGCACCAGTCTGTGCACCTACCATGTGCCAGGTCTGCAACTAGGCTGGTTATTCCCTGTATGCTCCTACAGCCCCTCGTCCCATTTCATCATTTAAAAGTTATTAAGGAAAAAACCCAAGGCTCGCAGAAACTGTAATCTTGCCAAAGTCACCCAAGAAGCAGATGATAAGCTAAGATCGGGATCCGTGTTTGTGGAGTCACGTGGTTGGCCAGTCTCGCCTTCGCCCCATCTCCCACCTTAGTTCAGTAACTTTCTAGCCTGTCAGTCAGACTCTAAAATCCTTCAAGGCTGGGAAATTTTTCTTTGGTTATTGAATCACATCCCACCAAGTGGGCGTCTGCCCAGACTCCTGTCCCTCTAATGGGTAGACCTCCTGGCATGTCTGACTTCAAGAAATCACACAAAAGCCAGCAGGAAAGAGCCTGGCTCAGATAGGATCTGCAGGATCATTTTTTCCTCCAGAGGAGAACCACCAGCACGCATCCCATGAAACCCCCCTTTAGTGGGGTCTCCAAAGAGGCCACCCCAACTTCCCCTCCTTCCCCCAAACACAGTCTGACTTGCACGGCCGGGAGTGGCTGGCTCAGACCGCAAGGCCGCCGCCCAGCTGGACGGGCAGCGGCTGGAGCCTCCCGCGCGGGGAGCCCGCCTCCCCCGGCCGGGAGCGTTCAGCTGTCCAAACCCCCAAGGCTGAGTCGGAGGCCCCGCCGTGCCAGCGCTGCCTTGTACTTGCCTTCACACAGCTGAACCTTCTCCTCCACAAACAGCAGGCCTTTTGCGAGAAGCTGGTTCTGCCAAGAGAGAACAAAGGACACAAGAGTGGGCTACTTCACTGCATGGCAGACCCTCAGCTGCTTCCAACAGGTGAGGGCATGGGGTTCTAGGCACATGGGTGCCAGTCACGCCTCCATGCTGAAGATGTCTTTGGTCCTCTGGGAAGGCCAAGGCTTCCGGAGGAGTCACTGAGACATCCCACAGCAAAGGGAGGAGGCGAGAGCCAAACGCAACCACCATCCCATCCCTCCAGCCACAGGCTTGGCTGAGTTCTACGGATGGACGAGGGTGGACGCCTGATGTCCTTCAGACCCTTCCTCTAAACTCAGAAAAGGGAGCATGGAGGCAGTGGGATATTATTTAGAAATAATAGATTTTTTATAAAAATGAGAAATTTAGGGTTTCTCACACTAGCAGGAAAGAATGCCTGAGGAATTTTAAGCAGCAGTGAGCATGTGTCCGCCACGAGCGTGTGAGTGGGAGAGTCAGGGAAAGAGAAGGTAAGCTTAAGTCCCTTTGCAACTGCAACTAACAAACCGCTGAGCATTTTGCTTCAATCAGAGGTCTATGTTCATCTCATCTAATTCCAACCTTCCCAATAATCCTACCAAGTTGATGCCATGACCCTGGCTTTACTGATGGTCAGTGAAGACACTTGCCTGCAGGAAAAAGAGCCAGTCTTCCTGGCTCCAGACGCCATGTTCTCCCCACTCTGCTTTGCTGCCTTCCAGCAGGCCTTCCCAGACCCCTTCCTTCCCCCAAAAAGGCTACGGCTGGTCCCATATGACGCAGGGAGCCTCCCTAAAGGTCACAGAATCTCAGAGAGCAAGGAGGCCTTGTCACTCACCTCACATCTTCAGATTATCAAAGGCCTATGCTTATGGGATGGAGGATCCACAGGGGTGTTCGTCCTACCAGCCCCTAATGCATTTCTTAGTACTCTCCTTGATAAATCCCTATAACCCTGCTACAGTGATGCTGAGAGCTTACATGGCAGAGCGGAAAGAACTTGGACATCAGACAGGGGTTCAAGTCTCAGCTCAGCCACTTTCTAGCTGTGTGACCTTGGACTTCATTTCCCAGAGTCTTGAGTTCCTCATCTGTAATATGGCATCACACTAGCAATGTCATAAAGTTCTTGTAATAATTAATCATTATAAACACACACACACACACACACACTAGGTATTTTATGTTCTCAGTCATCATCATATCCTGTCTGTGGTGCTCTTAGTCAAATTATCTTCACAAAGGGTGTGGGAGATAAAGATAGTGATGAATGGACCTACATCAAATACATTTAAGTATTTTATCAAAGATATTATCACATTTCTGTGACTAATACATATGAACCAAATTTTGTAGATCCTATTAAAATTCACAAGATATAATCTAATTTTTAAAAGTAACTGGCCACTAGTTAGTTTCAAGATGGAATCCCAAATCAAAGTTAGAGTCACATCCTATAGGAGTGCCCCACCTCTGTTAAAGGACAAAAAAATATCCTTTTCCTTACCAGGAATCACAGCACAGACAGGTCATGAAGGTGAACTCTTCACTGGGTTCTCTGTCTCCCTGCCAAGCACATGAACCCCAGCAGCAAGAAAGCCCCACGGCACCCAACAGAGACTAGCAAAATCAGGACAGCTGAGCTGGTCAGGGAAGGGTGGCGGGATGTTTCCAGATGGCAGTCACCCCACCTGAATGCTTCTGAGCCAAAAAAACAAATCCCATTTGGGGTCCCATTTGGGGTAGGGCCTGCGGCCTCTGCCTGGGTCCCTGTCACTGGCCCAGATGAGAGTCTCAGGATGTCCCCTGGGCGCTCTGTGCAAGGCCTTCTGATGCACTGTCCTCTGTCACCACCTCTACTGCCAAGACAGATGCCCCGGCCTTCTTCCAGAACAGCCTCACAAACCCTCCTTAATTTCATGTTTCTGAGATGCACCTCCCAATGGAAGAGGGACTCCGTCCTGCGATGCAGTTTTCATGATCTACGTTTTAAGGGTGGGGGAAGGGGAACTAAGGCACCAAGAGAAATAAAATCCTGGTCCAGGTTACATCCTGAGTTAATTACAGAAGATTAATTCAAACCCTGTATCCTGTGTGTCAGGATTTTCGGTCCTTCAGGGTGAAGGCCATTTATTTCAGTCCTTCTGGCTCTGAGAGGGCCTCGAACACAGTGGAAGTAATAAATATTCACCGAGTGTATATTCCCAGTTTTGGTGCTACAGACCACTTTTTGCTTTTAAGAAATCCAAGTAAAAGGTAGAATATTTTTAAGAGAAGAGAAAATGACATAGGGTCCCTGAAACTCTCACACCCTTAGGCATTTGTTACATTCTGCTCTCACTTTACAAATGGCATTTTCTTTGTTTGATAAAAAACAACTCTGTATCTGAAGAGATCAACTTTAAAAATTGGCCTGGGTTCTCCTTCCTCCTCTTTTCTAGGTCTTCCTCCTTCAAGGAGACATTTGGGGCAAAAAAAAAACAAAAACCAAAAACCTCTTTTCAAGGAAAAGAAGTTATCTGTGTATTATGGAGAAACGGAAAAGAAAACGTTCTTTTTAAATTTCTCATGATACACACATAGCATGGAAATTCTGTAGCTTCAACCAAAATAAGAGTAACAAATTGGGGTTAGAAGGGGCCATAAGAATCATCTAGTCATGCTCCCCTCTCCCTGGTCCTGCGGTCCAAATCAATTGGTCACACACAGTTTCGATCATTTTTAGGTGGACCCATTCTCCGGGAAGCTCAAGCACCTTTCAAAAGCGTCTTGAAAATTCTTACACTCCTAGACATTTGAAGGTGCTGCTCTTATCTTTCAGCTGAATAAACTGCAGCTAGCAGTATGGTCTCCATCTTTCATTTGGCATGTGCAAGGTGAGTTAGGACCTTTGGGACCAGCCTGACCACAGCCCCACTTCTCTGGAGAACTGCCCACCATCTACTCAGCGGAGCTTTGCCCATCGGGCCTGCCCGAGCCCCTTGAACCCAGCCCACATCTTCGGCTTAGCTGACTGGCCTGGTCCCTGCCCTCCATCTGGCCTGAGTCCCAAACTGAGCCAACTACCTTCTCTCCTGGGAATGTGTAGTCACACAGGCCCCCTCTGCTCCAAAGGGCCCTGTAATCCTAAGAGCCTCATGCTCTGAAGGGCCTCATGCTTGGGAGGTAGTACTCCCCAGTGACCATCTGCACTTCTTAATATTCTGTGTTTTGCAAGTGAAGCCTGATAGGGCAGTAGAGCAATGCCCCAGGGCCTTGGTCTCAGCTCATCCCTGGTCCTGTCTCCTACAGCCTCTTCAGGAGGGGCTTTCGGTCTCCTGCTTCCCACCACCGGCTGCCTCTTGACCACCCCGATCTACGCGTACTGACAGCATGAAGGTTACAGTCTCTTAGGGGCCCTGTCTACGGTGGGTTGCAGCAACAGGTCCCCGGGAAGGGGAGTGGTCTTCCCCACCCTAGCGGGAGCCACGTTTTCATTTTGCACCAGGCCCTGCAAATTGCAAAGCCCACTCTGTCTGCTGGCCACTTCACCTAAGGACACGCCAGCTGGACACCTGTGGGACTTAAGGCTGCTGAGACCTAAAGGAAAAAGGAAAAAAAGAAAAGAAAACCAGCCTTGATTCAGACAGCTATCTTGCACTGTTTTGTCTTTTGAAGCGTCTGTTCTCCCTGGCCCTCACCTGCCCGTCTTCCCAGCCCTTGACATGTGCCTGACTCTAGAAGCTGCTGAGAAGATGTTTGCTCCAGGGCCATGGTGATGCTGTGTGGGAACAGAGCTGGAAAAGATCCCGACTTTGCTCTGGTCCCACTCCCTGCCCCATGGCACCAGCCCCATCACCTCCCCAGTCCAAAGGCTTCAAGCCAAAAGACAGTTACATTAAGTAGCGGCCACCTGGGAAATGATTCGGGACTTGGAACTGGGCCTGTTGTTACTGAATGCTTCCCCCCCACAAAAGCTCGTAGACAAAGAATACACAGCACTCTAATGAAGCGACTGAGGATCCCAGAAGTGAAAAAAGAACTAACCTATCTGCTTTCATTAAGACATTGAAAAGTGGACTGCCAATAGGAGAACAAGGCTCAGAGGAAAAATGCAAAAAAAACCCAAAAACAAAACAAAAACAAGGATGTCTGCAGAAGGACATCCAAAATCACACAGTCCTCTGGGGGCCGGAAAGATCGAGCTCATTCTAGGTAATCACAGAGGGGGCGAGAGGAGGTGGGGAGGGCAGAGGAGAGGGTGGGCGGCTGGAGTACAGAGCTGGGCGACAGCATGCATCTCCCATCAAGCAGGCTCCTCCCCAACCCGGCCAGAGGGACTCAGAAAACCGGGAACCAACAAGCTAGCGGGCGGGGAGAATGATGCTACTTCCATCTTCCCAGGCGGAAGAACTTTCCATGCAAGGTAGGAATGCTGTAAATGCTCAAGGCCCCCCTAGATGCCCCTGTTGCTCCTAACGCTTTAGCAGTGAAGATGATAATGAGCAAAGGAAGGCTGACAGTAGAGGCATGGTCTTTACGCTGTGTCAGGCACTGTTTCACCCCTCTCGTTCATCAACTCACTATACCTTTGCCACAAACTTATCCCCTTTACACAGAGGAAGAAACTGAGGTTCAGAGACGCAACTAATAAATGTGAGACCAGAATTTGCACCCAGGTTGGCCAGAATCCAGCCCAAGTCTCCCCCAGCATATTTCTCGGGTTTACTTTAGCAATAACGATAAAGATGCTAAGATATGACTAGCTATCATTTGTTGACTGCTGACTATGTACAAAGCACTTTACATGTCACCTCATCTGGTAACCGCATCAACCTTTTGAAGTAAGTGCTATGACTGCAACTAGATTACCACTAAGACAACTGAGGCTCAGAGAGGTTAAGTCACATGCCTGTAGCCACACAGCCAGTAACTGTTCTAGCAAGGATTGGAATCCAGACCTACCTGGCAGAAGAGTTTGGTGTTTTTAGGCATTGTGCTCGCCTACCCTGTCAGCTGGAGAGGTTTT